CTCGACCCTCTCGAATTCGTTGCGTTTAAATAGTGGTGTCCCTCAAGGAAGCATTCTTGGGCCGCTTCTTTTTAGTATTTACATTAACGACTTACCTTCTGTTCCTAGAAACTGTTTAACGCAATGTTACGTAGATGACACTAAACTTCAGATTTCTTTTAAGATGCGTGATTGTCCGACTGCTATGAACGATCTAAATAGCGACCTTCTTTTAATACGTAATTGGTGTTTTGACAATTTTCTACTTTTAAATCCTGACAAAACAAAACTCGTAGTCTTTGGAAGCCGACAACTACTTGCCAAACTCCCCGACTTCAAAATATCTCTTCTAGGAAAAGATCTCGCTTTTACATCTTCGGCCAAAGATCTTGGGGTTGTTTTAGATCCGCAACTAACGTTTGATGACCATGTTCTAAAAACTACGTCATCTTGTATGTCAAGCCTCGCACAAATCAGTCGGGTTAAACATGTTCTTGACCGTAACCAACTGGTGACAGTAATAAATGCACTAGTCTTTAGCAAAGTACTGTACTGTTCCACAGTGTGGTCGAACACCTCGAACAAAAATATCTGTAGACTACAGTCAGTGCAGAACTTTGCCGCGCGCATTATTACAGGTACCAGGAAATTTGATCATATAACCCCCGCACTAAGAGATCTACGTTGGTTTCCAATTAAACAAAAGCTGTTCTTCCGCGACGCTCTCATGGCATTTAAATGCATGACTGGTCAAGCTCCACATTACCTCAGCGATCAATTTACAACAAGAATTGCGGTCACCGGGCGCGTGACTCGAAGTTGCCAATTATTAAACATCCCCTTGTATAAGTCGAGTACCGGACAGAGAACATTCCACTACCGCATGGTGCACATTGGGAACAATCTAGACAGTACTCTTAAAACTGCAAAATCGATCGATTTCTACTTTTAAATTTTGTCTGAAAAATAAGTTGATTACTTACTTTTTAAATAACACGTTATGATAGTATTTTAGTATCTTACTAGTATCTTATTTTATTTTAACTAAAAATATGCATATTGTATAGTACGTAGTGAGAATATTTATTATACGATTAATTCTTAAATAGGTATGTTTATATTGCTTTGTTCGAATTGTTAACTGCTTCTCTTATCTTAATTTATCTTAATTTTTTTTTTAGTCGCGTTGTCACTGAAAAGCCCCACCAGGGGAGTGTCAATAAACTATTGTATTGTATTGTATTGTATGTCAGGTTCTTTTACTAAGGAATCACCTTAACGGGAGCCCCAACCCTTAAATGACCTTAAGTCTACCGTAAGTTTCAGCATTGTTTTCCTTTTCACTTGATTGATAATTTGTGAAAGTTACTTACTCGTTGTCGAAGGCCGAGGAGGATGCATTGCTGAAAAAAATACGAGAAAGTAGAACTGAATTAGGGTATGGATTCATTACAATAAACCTATTGTAATAAACACAAACGTCAGTGTTATCAGCACAGGAATTTATTTGTAGGGCTTTCGGGCGTGACTTAATGGCTAAAGGTCCTTAACGCGAGCCCCAACCCTTAAATCTACCGTAAAGGTCCAATTTATAAATCCCCACCTTATGAGCTTCCCCATTTATAGGTCCACCTACCAGAAAACCAAAAAAACATACCTTGTGTTATAACCCCCCCGACCGAATATAAGCCCCCGGCCCCTGCTAGAATGTAGGACTTTTTACGTTTTGAAGCTTAAAAAGCGATAAACTCAAAAAATGCACTTTAATTAGCCCTACCATGTAGCTTGTTTTGCAACACTTTTGTTAGTGCAGTTATGAGCCCCCCATGTCACCTCCCCCCCTTCACACACACACACACACAAACCCCGTTTATCAGCCCTCGTAAAACCCCTTACGAAGCTGTATAAGCCCAGGGCTTATAATGTCACGTGACATATCAACTGCCCAAAAATTTAAAATGGAGGAAATTGGCTAATTGGTGACGAATTTGTTTTCTTTGGATATATAAATTGGCGTTTGTGATAAAAGATAAACATACTTTACTTTCTTACAAAAGAAATTTTGGCATTTAAAATGATGTTTGCTCTCATAATTTTTTATTGAAGTGCGATGGACAGTCATTCCAAACGTAAAGTGTTAAATATTACATATGAAAAATGTGCTAGATTTCTTTTCTTAAACCCGTCACCAATTTGTCAAGTATTTAAGATTCTACGAATCACTTGACATAGCACGTGACTTACCAACACAATATGTGTACTTTAAAATGTTAATGACCATCAGTTCTTTATGTTTACCAAATTTTAATTCATTTGCCGAAGATTTAGTCAATATAAATTATTTTCCACAGGTAAGCCCATCTAGACTGTTCACAGTCCCCTATTGTTTCCGTAAGATCATAGCGATCGAGCGCTGTGCGTTACGGGCTGCCATCTTGCATGAGTGTCAAAACTACTTACTTTAGGGTAATCCCCGACGCCTGCCCCCTCTGTACATTTGAAAATCAAGGTGGACGCCATTAACGGTAAGATCAGACATGCTATATCTCGGCGATCTCACGAAAAAATAGGGGACTGTGAACAGTCTAAAACCCATCAGACCCAGGCCTTAAACTAATTGATCACCAGTCCCTTGTTACCCGCACTACAATTGCATTAGGGAAATATATACAAGAGAGTCATCAGTTTGACATTTAAAAATCTTAATTCTATGTAAATGCAATGTGTGCTTCTGAATCTGATTTTAACTATGCCTAGGAGCTAGTAAGGAATAATCTTCTCGATTTTTTTTTCGCTGACAAATTTGTGTTCTATAGCCAATGTAAGAAAAGTAAATGTTAGTATGGCCCGGCATCCCTTCTTTCTCATGTTGTCTCCTTCTCCGGCTGCCATTTCTCACCAAACTTTATCCTTTTCGGTATTTCCTTTATTTTCCAGGGAAAGTTCTCTCGATGATCGAGTTTATACTTTTGAGGCAAAGTTAACAAGCTAAAACAAATGATTATCCTTGCCGCTGGCAGGTGTGGCCGGTTTTTATTCTACTAATATAACACTTTCTTTCAAAAGAAAGATAATGGATAGTAACACAACTTTTTAAAAAGAAACGCACTCAATTTTGCGCGAAATTAACGGTTTTTACATCCGGCTGATAGAAACTTCCCCTACAATGAAAGAACCTGAGCAAATAAACTGTAAGAAATGCAGATAAGGAATGAACGGAAGATGATATAACGTTGAAATTGAGTTAAGCCTATCATTCTTTCCTTGTTTGTTTTGCATATAATTAAGTTTCATCGCATAAATCTCTAGGCTCACTGATCATGATATCTCTTTCTTTGGTAAGTTTGTAACCATGAGCATACTTACTCCAAGGTGAAGGCCGGGGGTTCGATGGCCATGTTGGTGTAACTGAAAAATTACAGGTTAGAAAAATTAGAAGTACACACACACATATATATCCAGCCGAAAAGGTCTAGAATATTCGCACAGGCACCTGTCGATAGCCAGGTTTCTGGTGACTGCTGTGAGAATTTTCATTGGGGCTTGCAGTCTTGGTTCGTCTTGATTAGTCAAGTTCAGTCCCTGAGCTAAATTGCAATGGGGTGGGAAGGGGCCTCCATGTCAATCTCTAGGAGGGGAGGGTTCTGCAAAAGCGTGGTATGGTCTTAGCCTAAGCAACAGATGGTCCTTTACATCGGCGACATTAAAATGCTGCCTTCGCTCCCACTTTTTGGCTAAAAACCCCTAAGGGAGATAATATGACATCAGTACTCTCTTTAACACTGAGAATTGTTGTCCTTTTCGCTTGATTGATAATTTGTGAAAGTTACTTACTCGTTGTTGAAGGCCGAGGAGGATGCATTGCTGAAAAAAAAATACGAGAAATTAGAACTGTATTAGGGTTTGGATTCATTACAATAAACCTACTGTAATAAACACAAACGCCAGTGTTATCAGCGCAGGAATTTATTTGGAGGGCTTTCGGGCGTCACTTAACGGCTAAAGGTCCTTAACGCTCACAGATCCGTTGACAAGATCGTAGCCTGTTCCTGAGCAAATTCAGATGTTCCGTCTAGCAGATATTCTCCAAATAGCGTCTGTCACCCCTAGTGTTGTAATTTTTCTGTTCTTGCTATATGTTAGTCAGATGTTCGGCTATTTCTGTCTTCATTTCTGTTTCTTTTTGGCTTCTTTCTTGGCGAAGTGTGTGTGTGTGTGTGTTTTTTTTTTCGACATTGTGTACAGCTCTATCAATACGACGGCAATCCGTCACTAGGAATTCTCGGTTTTGTCCTTTTTTCTAAAAATTATCCTGTGCTGTTCAATTCCTATTCGAATATCACAAACGTCTTCCAATGCTGATTGTGAAGAATTAGTCGTGGGAGCATTAATTCAGTCGTCTTCACTCAGTACTATACAGTAGTCCAAAAAAACACAACAGACATTATGCGTTTGTGTAGCCTTTTTATTGCTGACAGTGAAATGTAATTTGCTAGTTAGTATAGGTAATAGCATGATTTGTAGTGATGTTTGGCATAAATACCACGAGTGATATTTGGAAATTATTAATATACGTAATTTCACGAGCAGTTAGGCCAGTAAAATTTGGGATAATTTTGAAATATCACAAGTGGTATTTATGCCAAATATCACGTACAAATCATGTTATTATTTACGTTTATACTACTACTCACAAAATGTTTGTAATTTTCACATGTAGGTATTTCAAATTAAGCTGAAATACCACTGCTCTATGCCAATCAAATTGCAGAAATTTCTCATGTAGTAGTATATGAGAGGAAATCCACATCTGGCGTCGTTTTCAAAGACTACGGATTTTTTTTTTCTTTAACCATATTTGAGTGATGTAATCTCTTTAACTCTACGAATGGATAGCCTTCTTTTACTGGTGTCGCAGTGACGCCATGTTTTGCGTAAGCTTTGAAGCCATTAGCCGTCCCTGAAAAGGTCTGGGCACTAAACAACTCGTCATCAGCCGCAGTCGTGCCTTCAGCCAATTATTACTTACCTTTAGTCTTTGCTGACACTGTAACATAATTCCATTTGTCTCTGTCTTTCTCCTGTGCATTTAACTCATTGACAGAGTAAACTCGAAACTTCAGGAAACTATCAGGAGGCAAGCCATTTACAGCCACAGTGCCATCTGTGACGTTGTCCTTGTTTGGTTTATACTCTACACTTGGTCCACATGACTCCTTACAATCCTTGTATTTGCTGGACTTGCATCTGAAGCAATCTACAGAATATCTTAACTTTCCATCGCTTTCATCAGGTGTGCGTTCCCACATAATTTCAACATAAGTTTCTTTAACAACAGTGACATTTGCATTACGTGGTGCCTTTGGTAAAGCTGCGGGAGGTTTGATTTGTATAAGTTAGCATGATAATTTATTTATTTTTTTCATTATTAAAACAAATCGCATAAAGGAGTATTATTCGAGCAGGGTAGTTTTGTAAGCAGTGACTAATGGGAAATATGTGATCATCTACATTGCATGTTTACTTTCTATTGAAATCTATTATCGTAAGTACCAACTTTTTACAGTAATTAAGAGTAAAGAAAAACACTACTTTATGCTTTTATGCCAACGCTAGTCCATGATCAATAGCCACACAATATTTCAATAGCCACAAACGTAGTTCATTAGCTCGCTGCCATAGACCACGCTTGAAAAAAAGGTAAAAAGAGAAAGTTTTAGTAAGAGTTCTTTGCCATTTCGTGCCAGAGAAGTCTCGAGGACAAGCAAGAGATCGAGATCATCGGAGGTAAGCTAAATATTTTCAAAGACTTGTTTTATTCTTGCTAAATGAAGTCACCTAGAAATAGATCTTTAGGGCTAGAAAGTTCTAAAATATACCCTTAAAGCGTATTCCTATTATAATTTTGGTAATTAAGGTTTCAACGCTGGTTGGTTATTATTATTATTATTATTATTATTATTATTATTATTATTATTATTATTTTTATCTATTTATTTATTTATTTTTTGGTTATGAAGAAAGAGCAGGGGGATTTGAGTCAATCAGAATAATAAATAAAATTTTAGAACTCGAGATCTACGATTACCTTTGCAAGGAGCTACACGTAATCCAGGTTTCTTGTAGAACCCTTCATGGCATAAGCAACCTGTTCTTCCAGTATTGGACGCTGAGTTTGTAGGACACTCGTCACATTTACTGTTACTTGCAACGCTCTTGTAAAAGCCTTTAAGGCACGCTTAAAAAATAAGATTGATAAAAACATTCCTTAGCACTATGTGGACAGACCTTCGTTAGATTACTGATTGATTTCAAGTCAGTGCATGGAAGATCGAAACAGAAAGGGTTTGCAAGCTATAATTAGTCTAATGAGCAGCATTTCACAAAGTCAAGGGGCACCCATCGACGATTTCCTCTTAAATACACTGAAAGCACTTTTAGGCTATTATAAGCGGCATAATAAGCGGCGCTATAAAATTTGTATGTGTACCGTCACCCTAGGAGAACCTGAGTCTTTTCGAATTTACAAGGGCTTCAGTATTATTATCCCGAAAATTTTATATGCAAGTTAACGTTTACGAAAGAGATAATTTTCCTATTTTCCTCTCTCCATTACATTTTTGAATCCGAACATTTTAGTTTTCCTTTTTCTACCAAAAATAGCCCAACATTTGCAGTGAAATGTGAAAACATCAAGTTCAGAAAATTTTAGGAAATTTATTAGACAAGCGTCAAAAATTGTACATGAACGGAACGGGCATCCAGAAATTTTTAGCCGTCCTAAACCAATAGAAAATTTTAGGCCATGTTTGCGGCTTTTCCGAACAGATACAGTAAACACCCGCATATGAGAACACACGATTTCGGAGGTCAGGCTGATTGAGTTCTTATTTATCGGGTGCTTAATGACAAATCAGCCTCAAAATGTTCTTAAAATGTTCTTAAATTTTTATTTAGTAATACGATCCAAAACATGTTGCTGGAGGTATATTTAGCATATTTTAGGAAAATAAAGTAAATAATTATTCTGCGATTTGTTTATATTATAATTATATTATATTATATCATAAACTTACATGTTTTGTAATTATGACACTTTTTCCATTTTATAAGAACATGTTACAATTTTCAGGCTGATCTTGTTCTTATAAAAATGGGGCTTTATTGGCTAAATTTCAGCTTGGTGTTCTTAATCCATTTGTTCTTATATGCGGGTGTTTACTGTATTTTACAGATTAAACAGTCGTTGGGTGCCCCCGACAAAGTAAGATGATTTACGATTGGCAAATAAAGACTATGAGAAACAGTACCAGACTGGTACTATAAGTTTCTAAGCATACATTACTGTACCTAAGGATTTGTAACCTATTACTAGGTTGTTTGCGTATTGTAATTTAAAGTGATTAAGTTGAATGAAGTGAATAATAATAATAATAATAATAAACACCGTCACCGCCAGTCTTAAAAAAATAGAATTTCCGTTCATACCACTGCATTCAAAGACATTTCCCCCAGTTCCATTGACAAGTTCATAGCCAGGTTTACAAAAGCACTTGATCGCATCCGTGATGTTCCATTCTCCGTTACTAAGGCAAACGCCTGATAGTTTCACTTTTCTAAGAGAGTTAACATCAGTACAGCGTCCTCTTTGTTCCTCGAGAGAAGAGTCGTTAACTGGAGCAGCTGCCCTTGAAAATCTCACCAGACCTCTTTCAATCTCGGAGCAATAATTGTAGCTTACAATAACACTTGATAATGACACACAGGCTCCTTGGTCTAAGAATGCAAGATACACACCTTCCTTTTTGGTTACGATTTTAACATCATAATCATATGACTCCATTTTTCCAGGTGCAGGCAGGACTGTTGGCGCAATTGTTTCTACCTCTTGGTATATTACTTCATTAGCTGTGAGTGGGTTTAAATCAACTCCAATTAATTTTTTATCTACATGAAGCACATAAATGCTCCACTTGTGTTTGCAGAAAGAACTTGCAATTAGTGGACATCTACGAAGGTTGTATTTCAGTTTAATATTCAGCATTTTAGCATCCTTGACGTCAATAAAATCTGTTCGTAGCCAGTTTGTTGGCTCAGTTGCAATGGTTATGTCGCAGGCTGCATATGTCTGGCTTGATAAAAACGTCCACTAAAGATAATGAAAGAGACGTCATAAGGCATTGTACATGTACTTCCAGGGGTGCATGAAATAAGGCCCTTAGTGACTCCCGCCCTAACATCAAATTCTCCCTTTCTTTATGCAAATCGGAGGGAGGATCTAGCTGTTCAACAGAAATCGCTGGAGCTTTATCCCAAGCACCCCAGCAATTTACTTATCCTGCTATAAACACTCCTGGCTGGGGCCACACTTGGGGAATTTACCGCGTTCTTTACAATTTAGTAATTAAAGTTAACTCGTTTGAATAAACTGCGAGAGTGGCCAGGTTTTCTACAGTCTTAACTGACTTCTAACTGGGTCATGCAAATCAAGCAAGAACATTAGTTTTTCCAGTTAGGTTTTTTAGACCACCGCGCGAGGTGGTTTAATGCAGGTTAACCTTGTCAATCAGTCCATCATCTCTGCCTACGAGTGAGAATGGTCCAAATTTTGGCTTTACCATACACGCAAGCACAGCAGTTTCGAAATTACTTCTTTCGCTCCAATTTTAGTTAAGACTTTTAAGAAGTCCACCTCTTTTTATCATTTTGTCAGTCACTCTAAGGGGAGCGGTATGAGCGACTATAGCAAGCGAAAAAAAAAAAACAGAAAACAATTAACCCTCATTCATACCCCCACCGTAGTACAACGCGGAGGATGGAACCTATCCCCGGAGTTTTTGATATCTTTTTGATTTTACCTTTATGGGTGACGGCACTGCTGGAGGCCTGTGACGTCACCAACAATGGTCGCCATCTTGGATTTTAACCAAGAGTTAGAAATCAAGCTAAAACCGCGAGAAATGGTATTTTTTTAATTTTACATGAAAAATAACACATAAATAAGTACTTTGCAGGATTTTAGCCACAATATTTACTTTTATTGATGAAAAAAGTTGAAAAACATGTCTTTTCACCCCTGGCTTGACCACCTGCTACTTATGACGTCATATCTCGTAACTGAACATCACTGAACTTGTCTTAAAATGTGCGCAAGGGATGAACGAACAGCCACTGAAAACGTCAGGTGCTGATTTCTTATCCTCTAGGAAAAAACTGAGAAAAACCTGTCTTTTGCACATAATGCTTTACCCGTAGTAAGGCATAACAAGAACATTTGGACGCTTAAAAGTCACACTGTACTGACACCCGACGTTTTATATAAATTGTTATTCCTTCCTTCCTTCATTTACTTTTGTTTCTTTCTTTATTCATTATTATTGTTATAATAATAATAATAATAATAATAATATTATTATTATTATTATTATTGCTATGTATTCAAGTTAGTTTAAAGGGTTTTACTCACCCCTGCGCCAGAAAGACTTTTCTTTGAGGTATGCCAACTCCAAAGTACACCACGAAGGGGTTCTTCGAGTAAAATTTCTGACAAATAACGCACATTAACATGTTACAATTAAAAACAGTTCTTTGCCGTCTCCTTCCGCGTGCCGCTCTCGTGTGAATTCTCTCGACTCCCCCAAATGGAGGGCTTGCTCGCAGACTAGGGGACGCATCTTTTGATTGGTCATCCATCTGTTGTTTTTTTAGCCAATTAAAACAACTCGTTAAGAAGGCTTCGTGGCGCGCTAAGACGATATTAGGAAAGTACAATCTAGTCCAAACTTTCTGGAGGTTTATTACAGCAAGAAAATGCAAGTAAAAAGACGTATAATGACGATAATAATAATAATAATAATAATAATAATAATAATAAATAATGGTAACAGGACTGAGTGGAGTCCAATTCGGTCTGTAATCATACGCGGTCGTCCGATTTGTTTAATCACGAGTATGATTACAGACCGAATTGGACGACACGAAGTTCTGTTACCAATTAATCATAACTTTAACAAAATGGGTAATATAATAGGCTATTTTTTAAATCAAAACACAAGCAGGAGCCGATTACACAAGAAATTCGAAATTTTGTTTTGCTAGCAGTGAAAAAAAAAAACATTTAAGCGCGCGCTTGATGGCGCGTACTGTCCAATTACTTAGGCATGACGCGTACTGTCCTATTAAACTGTCCAATTAAAACTGAAATCAGGGCAGTTGATAGCCAGTCAGATTTGACAAGTTTGTTATAGTTATGATAATAATAATAATAATAATAATAATAATAATAATTTTGCGATAAATATTAGCGATAAAAAATCACGACGTTTCGACCTCTCCGAGGTCATTTTCAAGTGTATAAAAGTTCTCTAAATTAGCATAGATAAGTTAAAAGCAAGTTATAATAGATAAAATGTGGTGAACGCTAAAATGTGATAAAGCACTTTTTACATTTTTACATATTTTATCACATTTTAGCGTTCACCACATTTTATCTATTATAACTTGCTTTTAACTTATCTATGCTAATTTAGAGAACTTTTATACACTTGAAAATGACCTCGGAGAGGTCGAAACGTCGTCATTTTTTATCGCTAATATTTATCGCAAAATCGATTTCTAAGAAACTACTTATTAATAATAATAATGATAATAATAATAATAATAATAATAACAATAATGATAATAATAATAATAATAATAATAATAATAATAATATTGAATATAGAATAAAAATAAAAAAAAACTTTATAACTTAAACAATTCAATTCCTAGAAAAATGGTGTACCACAACAAGATAACAATTGCCATAAAATATCTTCCTATGTCACATCTAGAAGTAATGACATAATCAGTCACATAACTATTGCCAAATTAGCATTTTGTTGCTGTGACAAGAGTTAAAAACAAGTAGCATATTTTGGTTTTATTTATGTGGAGCATTTAAAAATAACAAAACAACTGAGGAAATGTAGACTTATGCAAGCAGTGTGCGTGTGACGAAACCATAAAAACATTACCCTAAACATAGGCACCCTCCTTTGCACCTTTTTTTTCTTTTTTAATTCCCAGTAGCTTACTTGTGTTTGGTTTTGTAAACCCACTGTCTACGGGGAATGCAAACCTGATCCCTCGATACATTTTGAACGGTTTGCCCTGTGTGTAGCAACACTCGATTCTTGTTTACTCGATAAAAATGCTATGGCGGATCATATACCAGCCACGATAAAATCAGGGAATTCTCCACAATTTATAATAGTAAGATTTCAATACTCCATTCGAAGCGAAATTCTACTACACCTACTGAAGGATAAAAAGAAAAGATAAAACTAGAAGTTCTCATTGAGAAGCTTGAGAAGGGAAGTGCTGCCGTTAGTTGCGAAGCGAATAGGACAAAGACAGTTTGTAGAACAGTTGAACATATGAATTCTTTTTTATTAAAGTCAATAACTTAGACTTGCTGGCATTATGAAACACTCAGAGCGTAATATAAAAAATGAACGGATCACGAAGACAAATATGCTTACATTCATATAACTCGCTAAGGTTTCAAATACCATTTTGTAATTCATTTTAATAATCCAAGAAATTCTAAAACAACAGCAGTGCTGATAGGCTGTTTCTTCATCGAACAATCATCGTACACAGTATCGATGAGATGAGTTGCTAACAAATGACGTAAAGGCCAAAACTTGTTTATTCACAAGTCAGGTAGATGTACAGCACATGCCGTTCACTTGTGTAACTTACAATCCTGATTACCGAGATAACAATCTGTGTGACAATAGAATACTCGCTATAACTAATCTTGCAACCTGAATAAAAAAAAAATAAACCGAAGAAATGTTCCGTACAATACGTCTTGAACTGTTCTTACCGTTTAGGCCGTTTAAAAAGACAGCAAGCATCCGATAAACTACGATTTCTGCACAGATCTTACATGAGAGCAAAAGAAAATGGCGGGTTGCTCCTAAGAGAAAAACAGGCGCAGCAGCTAAGCAAACCGCTGACAGCAGCACAGCGCTGCAGTCACAGATCACCATGGAACCATGGAACCATCTAACCATCCAGCCATTGAGCCAAAAATCTCAAATGGATCAAGAATATGGTCTGCTGACGGCTGATCCCCGGCAGCAAAGAACGAGGCAACCTTGTAGGCAGAAGAATTCATTAGAAAAGGTGTTTCAAATATTGATCTCCAGAACCCAAAGTACACCTGGAGACAGATAGGAAGGATTTTTTCACCCTAAGAAAAAAGAAATACAATGTACCCAAGGAGCTGAAGCAGTGAGCACAGAGCAATTTTATAATTACTTTAAACAACCGAGAACGCGAGTTCTCAGAATAGTAAACGAAAAGCCAGAGACTGATGCGAAAACCTCTCGAAACCGGAATCGAAGTGGTCGCTGGTCCACTTGACTATCAAATTGAAGATGAAGAGTTCGATGCGGCACTCAACAAACTGAAGACAAACAATTAGCTCCAGATATTGATGATATATTAAATGAAGTTCTAAAAATCATTCGCTATTCGCTGGAGTTTTGGCCTCATTGTACCCATATACAAAAAAGAAAAAAAAATGATCAATCCAAAGTGGAAAATTGACATCTATCCTTAATAACAGATTGTAAGGCCTACATGATCGAAAAATAAATTCTAAAAGCGAGAACAAGGCGGCTTCAGAAAAATGCATGGCACAGTTGACTTACGTCTTTATTTTAAAAACGCTCATTGACAAGTATGTAAAATCCATATAAGCCTCTGAAAAAACGAAGCCTTCTCTTCTCATGCTTCGTTGATTTTAGAGAAGCTTTCAATCATATACCTCGCCAGAAGCTATTCGATAAACTGAGAAAAAAAAAGATATTCAAGGGCGCTTCTTACAAGTATCGATTTCTATGTACTCGAACGATAATTCGGCGGTCAAATTGACAAGAAATTAACCCAATCCTTTCCTTGCTACTCCGGGTTAAAGCAGGGTTGCATCGTTATCACCTAGGTTCTTTAAACTGTTATCTTAGGGATCTACCTAATCTACTGAATTCTACAGCGAGTTCAGCGGACATAACTCTAGGAGAAAAATCTATAAATGGTCTCTTATATGCTGACGACCTAGTGATCTTCTCTAGGTCAGCAAAAGGC